CATGAGGCCTGATGCAAAACAGCAAAACCAAATGTTTGCTAGCAATAGTAGCAGCCTCTGGCCCCATGATGTGGGGTCTCCTCTCTCAGTTCACCAGCACACAACACCCCAAGTTAATATTAATCAAGAGGCACAAAGCCTTTGAACAGACGAGAATTAGCTCCCTATGTCTGTGCCAGTCAATCAGCTGATCTGGACATTACAATCCTATTTCTTTTGTTGCAGGCAAAACAGTGGTTTAGTCTTTAATATTATTTGGGAATTAGAATTACTAGATTGATACAAAATCAGAGAGCCTCAGCAGTTTCTTGCAGCTTTATTTTAAAAATCCAGTGTTAAGATGCCACCAAACCACCAATAATTACCTGAGAACAACCTCCCAAAATTCTCTCTTAACACTGAGGCATAAATTCCCCAGGAAGGACACCGTCCCTCCCTCTGTTTTTTACCACAGAAAATTCTGGAAGCAACAGAAATTTCTTCTTACTGCTATGCATCCAGCCAATTTAACTTAAAAAACACCCTGAGAAACAAGAGGGGCTAACAACTGATTTCCAAGTTAATTTACCAAGATGTTGCTGTTAACACTGGAGCAGATAAATAAAAAGGAATTAAGATTTTCCACTGGGAAAGGCAAGAGCAAGGCAGTAAATGCACAAGAGAGCCAAGGTGGTGGTGAGATTGAGGATCCTCCAGCAGAAATGAGACAGGTACACATCAAAAGAGACTTGGCCACAGAATTGCTGAGTGTCACACTAGAAGCAGACCTCAGAACATAATCACATTTATAGAAAGAAATTTTAAAGGAAAAGTTAACCCCCTCAAGCAAACTCAGCCCTGGGGCACAGCAGTGACTGTCCCCAGCAGGGACCAACCTCAGCCCACCAACACCCAAACCCCAAATGTAACTAACTGAGCCCAGCCTTATCAAACCCTCATTACAGCATATTTTAGTTTAATTTCCCTATGGAGCCAGTCATCCCATTCGCCTTAATGGCCCTGGGAACGTTCCAGTCTGCTTCACTCTTCTTTTCAGTGAACAAAAGCAACACACAGTGTTTGCAGAGCAGACATTATGCCAACATGATTAGCCTTGTGCATTTATTCTTCATGAAAAATAATGCATGTGCACTTACATGAAAACAGGAAGGCATTGCCAGGCTCCCAGCAATATGCTGTATAGTTTAGCTCTCAAAGCAAAGTTTTTGGCAATAAAACTAGGTAACTGCTGAAAAACACTTTTGATATTGTTAGCATGCCTAATATGAAATTCATGTGACAGATATTTGCACTTGCCTATTCAGAAAGACAAGATCCATCTGTAAAATCCAAGGTCTACTCTGGATTCTGACTGGATGCACAAAAGTCTCACAGAAAACTTAATAAGTTTGGGCTTTTTTGCCTCCAGCACTGAAGTCTCAGTGTTGCCCAGCCCCATCTGCAAATACAAGTATTTCTGTTGTCCTCTGTCTTTTGCTAGATTTTTTTAATTGAACAAGAGATTTAAGAACCATAAACAAACACTAGAGCCAGCTGACAGCCAAATGAAGTATGAAAGGCAAATTTCTGCTCCAACCACGTCACTCTAACACTGCTCTGAGCAGACAAAACCCACTCTGAAATGTGAATGCTTCTCTTCCCAGCAGCTTTCACCTGTTCCACCAGCTGGGAGGGCTCTGTGGGCCCATTCATCACAGCTTCCATTCTCTTTCCATCTTTTTCCAGGCTTTTCCAGGAGGAGAGTGGGAAAGGAACTGAGACATATGAGCTTTGTGACAAGAAATCCAAATATTATACTGAGCTCTTTGCCCATGACCCACACCTTTAGCACAGAAACCTCTCCTGAATATGGGGTCAAGAGCAGTGGCTTTCTTCACTTGAAACATGGGAAACAAGCCAACACTTTTGTGGGAAATGCTCTCCTAAGGCAGCTAGAGATGAATTTTCAGTCTGGTTAAGGAAAATAGTTACTGCAAAGCAGCAGAACTTATTTTTTCCATTGTTTCAGCTTTACAGGAGAGGAGGGAGGGGGACAGCCAGCATGGACATTACTCAAAGCTAATTTCTTCCAGGAGTCCATGTCAGCTGCCAGTTCCCCACTGACTTTCAGGGGAAATGGCAATTTCTGTTCTTTTAAAAAAAGCCCACAACCACAGCAAGCCAATGTACCTAACCCAGACGAAAGCTCTTATTCCTAAAGGCTCTGTGAAAACACCAGCTCAGGTAAGGAGACACAAAAACTCTCCTCTCAGGATATTCCTTGAGCAGAGCTGACTCTGAATGTGTTTTCAGGAGAAATAACTCAGATACAGCATGTGTGACAAGCTGGCTCAGTGTGACTACAGCACATTTGGTCTCTGTAGAAACCTCCAGCCATGAACTGTGAAATTCCATAGAATTCACAGCATCTCCCATCTGCACTGACCCTTTTTCTGGTACATTAGATGTGAGCTGTCAAGAGTACATGGAAATGTTGAAGAGGAATCTCCCTGCCTGGGAAGGGAAGAGAGAAATAAAAGACAGATAAGAGACACTTGAGTTTCTACAAAAGAATATGAACAGGACACTGGGGAAAGGAGAAATCAAAGCAATTTCTGTATTCCAGAGTAAGAATAAAGGGAAGTGCCTCCACTTGCACCTGTGCAGGCAAGGTTGATAAATTCATGGGAAGAGAAGAGAATCAAAGTGTGGAGCTTTTAAAAATTCATATGCTAATGGCTCTGACATATCTTAGGTACAACTGGAGAACAGGCATCTTCTCTTATCATGCAATCTGAAAGATATAATCTCCTTTTGGGGTCTTTCCCCAAGCTCCTAGAGCCAAGGAACTTCTCAGAGGCAACAGACTGGGCACTGCTGCAGTTTAATTCTGTGCTTTGTTAGATTTGTGGTTCTCTTCTGCAACTACATTTCAGGATTTTGAGATTTCTATCCTTCACCCAGGTAGCAAATTCATATAGATCAGTGTTGCAGCTCTGTATTTTGTAACCCAAACCACTCTGGTTTTCTTCCATCAAGCTCCAGAAAATACAGACTTGTCCTTTGGCTGGCAAAGAGGAGAGTAAGTGCAGAGGCAAGGAGTGAGGCAACAGTTCAGGGGCATGTAATGAATTTTTGTGGAGCCAGGAAAAGCTTGTCAGCCTCCCAGGAAGCACCTTCAGTGCAGACACAGGTCATGGAGCTCATGGTGTCTGCAGGGCTTCTCAAACACCTCACACACAGACTCCTCCTTACAACTTTATGACCTCATACAAAATCTAGTGGCCCAGATCTGACTAATCCCAGGAAATGTAATTAAATTAAATCCAGCTTCCACAGCCATCTACTACCAGCTTCTTTGGCTGCAGGCATCCCCAAAATTCACATCAGTGCCTGCTCTGGTTAAGGTTTCAGTGATGTGGACTGGCTCTGGAATAGATTTAAACCACTTTAAAACAAAAAAAAAAAAAAAAAAAAGAGTATTTTCTCTTGCAGTTTTCCCCTACCAAAGGCTGAATCCCTTGACTGTGCTGGGGCTGGGCCCCACATCCAGCAGAGATGCTGCTGCTCTCAGAGAAGGGCACACAGGCAGGATTTTGGGATATACAATTTGCTCACAGAGAGCAGCAAGAGGCAGCTGGCCAGAGTTTTGGGGATGTGCAGGAGGAAGAGCAGGTGAAGAACATGCAGGGACACAGCTCCTGAGCAGGGCACTGAGAGAAGGTGCCACAGACAACACCATAGCCCATCCCTGCTATACACCCACCCCACTTTGTTTAAATAACCCCAAAGTGCTCTGTTCTCACCTTCCAGGTAGGAATGGCTCAGGAGTGGCTCAGGAAGGGCTCAGAAATGGCTCAGGAGTGGCTCAGGAGTGGCTCCACCATTTCCAAAAGCCTCCTGCACTACCCTGACAGGCAGAGGAGCAGCAGTACATCTGCCACACAGCACCAACCCACCATTTCCAGACTTCTCCCCTTTTCCATGCCCACTTTTTTCCAGGAATAAACCTCAGAACTCCTCAAGTAGAGGTCAGAATCCATTTGGAGCCTCCCAGGGCACTTGGCTGCACATCCCCTGGTGGCAGATGGCTGGAGCTCAACAAGGCACAAAGGAACTCCAGCAAACAGGAGCTGCATTCAGCCCAGAGGTTGCCTTGACCCTGCCACTGCCTGACCCTTTCACACCACAAGACACACACCAACTGTGCCTGCTGAGATGCCACTACAAAGCCTCTGGGGGGAAGAGAGGCCTCAGATCTTTTGCCTCATTTTGGTGTTTTTCATGTGATTAAAATCAACTGAAAGCAACTCCACAACATGCTGCAGTTATAAATCCAGACCAAAGCACCTTGAGAGAGTCACAACAGGGCAGAGACAGCCTTTTTTAACAAAGTGAAATGAAAAACATGAAATACAAAACTCCCATCTGGAATAATAGATGCACACATTGGAGTTCAGGTTCATTTCTCAATCACAGTGTGGATCTAGTCCAAGATACAAACCCTATAGCATTTCCATACAGCCTATAAGAATCATTACATTACCACACTGTGTTACATTTTAAACCCTAAAAACTCCTCCTGGGACCCTTTCTGCCAAGCTGTAGGGTCTGCTCTGACCCTTGGGCCTGTCTGCAAGCAGAGGGTGTTGTTCCATCAAAAGGGGATCACCTTCAGCTGGCCACACCATTGTTTTCCAGTTGTTCAGTAACTGAGGTATCTCAAAGCTTGCTTTCATTTCAATCTTATAGTTTCCATATCTTCAAAATCTTTTGCCAGACAATCATATTTATAAGGCTTTCCTGTTTCATCTTCTCCAACACCACCCACTCCACAACTTGCCAGTTCTGTGCATCACCTGGGAGAGGGACTCCATTTATTCACTTTGGTACATTTGTTTTGATCCCTCAACCCACACACAGATGGGAATTTCACATCCCACAGCACACTGGCTCCACCAGCCCAGTGCCTCCAGGCCAGGCAGTCCCTGGGGAGCTGATGCCCTGCAAGGAGCCCTCACCTTCCTTGGAGCCAGTGGTGGCAGCAGCTGTGCTGGTCCCTGATGCCCGTCCCACAGGGCTGGAATGCTTCCCAGCCCTGCCTGGGATTTTAAGTCCACTTGGTTTCAGCATGATTCCTCTCTCCTGTAGCTCAGGCTCCTGCTGCCAGTGTCTCCAGAGCTGTCCTGGTGTCACTGCTCAGGATTCTTGATGGTGCACCTCTTCTTCCATGGTCACACACCTGGGGGAGAAGAGCACAAAGAAATCAGGTGGAGAATGAGCAGGAGAGCATGGATCAGGCTCCCAAAAAAGCAGTGCCCAGTTCTGTCCTCACAGCCCATGGGGAGTCAGAACCTTTCATTTCTTCTCCTACAAAACAAGGGTGGTCATTTCTGTCATCTCCCATCTCCATGATACTCTTTTTTAAATCAATCTCAAAGTTGTGGGCCAAAGGTGAAACTTCCCAGAGCCATTAAACAAGAATTTAAAACAGTGTGGGATTTGAGTAACTGAAATGGTTTTGACTGGTTTTAAATCCTAAAGCCTCAGTTCAGCACCTGCCAAGCCTCTGTGGTGCTGTCAGAGCCCTGACAAAAGGCACCACCCCTCATGCACATGCATGCTAAAGCAAATTTTGACTAATATTAACCCCCTTAACTAAAAACACTGTCTGAGAGGTAAAAAGCTTTCCTGATTCTGCTTTTTCAGGGCAGAATGCTCAGGGCAGCCTCTCCAAACTGGCAGGGGAAGGAAGGATGATGCCAGTGTCTGAGATGGGGTTTTCAGCTCCAGTCCTTAAAGACAAATCCAAAAACTTATCACAGAAAAAAAAGGAATTTGACCCTATGGATTTACGAGAAAATTTGGAAAAAAAAAAAAAAAACCAAAACCACAAATTTCCTGAAACTTAACCATGACTCTACCAACTATTTATTAGTGAAGTCACAACCGTTCCTTATGTCATTCCCTTCCCTGAAGGCAAATGGAATAAAACCTCCAAATTCCTTGCAAGGATGTTGCATCAGCAAGCACATTTTATGACAAGAAAGGAGAAATAAAGGAAATGACTAAGTTGTTAAAAGGAAAAAAAAAAAGCAGTAACATTCCTAATGTATAAAGAAAAATAATAAAAAATTGAGCCTATCAGCCAAAAGGAATCTTGAGGCTGGCAGTCAGCAGGCTAGAATGTGGAGGAAAAAAAGGTGGCAGCAGAGTAAACCAGGGACAATGCCAACCTAACAGCAAGGAGAGCAATCCAAGGAGCAGCCAGAAACTGGGGACACTCTTTCCTGGGCAAAGGAAAGAGGCAGCACCCCTGAGAATCCAAGATTTACAGATGCTGCAAGGAGGAATTGCAATAATGGGATGGGAAATGATTGAGGCATGAGTAAGGACTTGAAGAGAGGCTGGGTCAGAGCGAGCACAGGGCTGGCAGGGCTCCAGGAAAAGCTGCAGGCAGACACAGAGGAGGGAAAACCACAAGGACAATTCCAAAGCTGTATTCCTGAGGGCCCACAAATATCTAAAACACCAAAGTGCAGCAAGAGTCAGTCATCCTACATCAGCTTAAAAAGACAGAGAAAGGAGGGATCAGCAGAGACATCCTGGGGAGGGAGCCTGAACAAAAACCTGAGGGATCAAAGCTTTTTCCCCATGTGCCCACAGAGGTGTTCAACAGCTGGGGTGGGTTCAGACACCTGCAGATATTCAGGGCTGGATGCTCCAATCACATCACCCACAGCAGGAATAACAGACAAGACAAGACACTCTTCCAAAGGAAGAGAAAAACCCAACCTTTCTGCAGCAGAGCTGGTGGGAACAGCTCAGAGCTGGACAGGAGGCTGCAGCCTCCAGCTCTGTTTAGCATAAAACAGGGAGACAAGGAACTCAGTCTGGAGGTAGAAACATTGATCAAGCAGGTTCCTGTTATCTGCCAAACCATCAGATGTGGCATCTCCCACCCACTCCATCTCACAGTGCACATTTTGTCCAGGGCTGGCTTTGATTTTACAGACAAACTTGATTTCTAACTCTCCTGCTGGCAGGTGATGTGCTCTACCTACAAATTTCCATCCAACACCTCCAGCCTGAGAGTTTGCCCTCTGCACAACATGACTTACTCCTGAATTCACTCATTTCTTGATCCTACAGTTTGGTTACAAGGTTGGATGGTGTACTCAGGATTATGCAACCTGGGGCTGCTGGTGCTTCCACACAGCTGGCTGAATTAACCAGGAATGTGGATAAGAAGATAAAAAGGCACAGGGGAAGAAAAAACAGCAGTAGAGAAGAATTTAAGTAGGAAAAGGTGCCAGAAAAATAAAAGGATTTTACAGTTTTTCAATATGCTGTTAGAGAGCATCTCTGGATCCTTAACTTTGCAGCCAGAACCACATAAACTTTCGGGAACAGTGAATTTAGTGTGCTCCTCTATTTCGCTGCTCATCTTTGAGCAAACAGGAACTTCAGTGCATCCTCTCTCCACATCTCATTATCCCTAAAGATCAGCTGTCCCCTCCCATCACAGGATATTGTGATTTTTCTGCTTTTTCTCAGGACAACTGGATATTTTTACACTGGGGAGAGAAACAACAGGAAGTGTATTCCCACCACATAAATATTTCTGCCAGGAATCTTTACACAAACACATTTGCTTTCAACACACTGATGTTAGAACCAAATGAACTCCACAGGCTGCTAATCATGTTCCCCTTGGAACAGACAGATGCTTTTATCCTGAAATACAGCCAGTTTGTGAAAAACACCAATCACTTGGTTTTAAAATTGTAAAAGTTTAATAGTAATAAAATTGTTATAAAGATAGTAATATAATTAGAGTAATAAAAATGTGGACAATCAGGATTAGGACAATACAAGGCAATAAAAACAAAGAGTTATGGACAGTCTGGGTACCTCTTTCTGGGCAAAATAAGCCCAAAAAAGGGACCCACATTAACAAAGGATTAACCCTTAAAAGGAACAGCCTGCTGCATATTCATACACCTCATACATGATGCATAAATTCCATTTAAACACAGGATTCTGTCTGGTCAGTGTCAGCTTCTTCCTCTGAATCCTGACAGAGTCTTCAGGGCTGAGCACGGTGGGAAGAACTTTGTTTCTTCTGATAATGGAGCAATAAATTCTTTTTCTCTGAAAGACTGAGGTGTCCTGTGGCTGCTATCTCAGTGAGAATACCTCATTCCTCTCTTTAAAAAGTATCTCACACAGCATAGTTTCTATTTTAACATTATGTTATAACCTAAAACTATATTTAACACACTACTTAAGAAAATTAATACAACATAACTTTCTAACATAACACATCTAATATTCATTTTAATATTTGCCAAAAGCCAATCATAAAATATGCATTTTTCACACAGTTCATGGCCACACTCACTGGGGTCAGAGATTCTAAACCTTCTCCAATGCCACTGAGAGCCAAAGCAGATGCCCTGCCTGGCTGTGCCACAGCCAGGGACAGCTGCCTCAGCACACCCTGCACATTCATCACCACACAGGGAAAAAAGGATGAAGTGGAGTAAATTTTACTCTATATGCAGTTTGTCAGTGCTACACAGATAAAAATAAATGTCTGGGATGCTTTTAAAGAAGTCTGAGCGTGCTGCTAGGGACAGATACTCCTTCTCTGTCACCAGCTTCTCCCCCACTTCAACACAAATATACATGAGCTGATTTTTAGGAAGCTCTGAACAGTGAGTTCTTCCAAATGACACCATTAGGTCATCTTCACCACCCAGAGCACTGCTGCCTGAGCCATCCTAGTCCCACATTAGTTCCTGGCCGAGTGATGCAGCTTTTATGCTGCAGAAATATCCTTGGCCTGGGACACAGGCCAGCATCTCCACAGGGCACTGCCCTGCTCCATTAGAGATAACAACCAGCTCTGAGCTCCCATACAGAACCTTCAGCTTCCCAACAGGCTCTATTAGAGCCCTCCTGAAAAACCTACTTCCAGCTCTTCCAAAAAATCTGCTTCCAGCAGCAGAGGCTGAACACAGGCAGATATGTGCTGTAAGAAACACATGAACCATCCCTCTTCCCTGGTACTGAAATCAGCCAGAATAGCCTTTAAGCTCTATCCAGAAACTTGAGGGGAACAGAAAATTTCTATTCTCTATGTGATTTTTCATTCCTGTACTCCAGCCCATTTACCTGCACAAGCTGCACACTTTGCCTTCCTGCAAAACCTCATGGAAATGTGACTTTCTCCTGATAAACTGTAAAGAAAACTCCATCTGCTCCTCTGGATACTCCAGTGCCACCAGCTCTGCTTATTTTGTTTTTATTTCCTTTACAAGATATGACAGACAGCAAGCATTTTCTAGATCTCTGCTAGATTATTCCAGCAGTGTTTCCATACCAGGATGAATGGTTCTGTCTGTTCCCACAACCAAGAAAAGCATCCCAGGAATGCACAACACAAAACCCAGCATCAAACAACCAAAATATTCCCTTCCCCATCCTTCCACCAGAAAAGGGGACAGCTGAATGTCAGTCACATCGGCTCAGATTCAGAAAGGGGAATTGTCTGGGGGTGATTTTATAATGATATTTTATTTACTCATCTGCTTTATGGCCAGAATATTTGGGGTATCTTTAAGAGGAGCCAAGGCAGGGTCACAGCCTGGGATCGCTCCAGTGTGCTCTGGGGATGTGAGCCTCATAGGCTCAGATTAAAAAAGGGGAACTCTCTGGGGCTGATTTTATGATGATATTTTATGAACTGATCTGCTTTACGCCCAGAATATTGGGGGTACCTTTAAGAGGAGGCAGGGCAGGGTCACAGCCTGGGACTGCTCCGTTCAATCGCTCTCTCCAGTGTGCTCTGGGAGGTGTGGGCTGGGGAACTGTCTTGGGGTGACTTTATGATGATGACTTTCTATACTTGTTAAAAATAGGTTAGAAACTTGGAAAATGTTGGAAAATAGTTGATAATTGTTAAGCATGTACTGTTAGTTTGGTTGTTATATTGTAAAAGGGGTTTAAAGGGCAGTTATAAGAAGTCTGGTACCCAAGGTACCATAACACACCTAAGGAAAGTGCACCACAAGCCAGCCTGGACAGACCTGTAATGGGCCAATCAAGCACCTTAAACCTTCATACAAATGAAGGATCCAAACAGAAACCAATCCAAAGGGACAAAAAAACAGGATTAAAAGGGGCATCTGATCCAGTGAATCTGTCCAGCTCCTGGGACATCAGGGCCATCATCAG